AAAGTCCATTTCTCACATTCAGATTTAGCTTGCTTTTCTCAAGCTTCCTTCTTTCTCCTATATCGTGTAGTTCCATCAAAATATGATCATCACATCATGTATTAAGAGTCTATGACTAGGAACTTATAGAACAATGGGGTTTAGATAATCCATGTACCTGAAGTAGAGTCACACGACTTGACCTCACTATCTCTAAGATATTTCAGGTATTTTGGATAGCTTCATTGCCAATGTCCTTTCAATTTGCAGTAAAGACAACTGGACTCATTGGGGTCAACATATGAAATGATTTTAGAACGAGCCTTTCTCTTTACCATATGATCAAACTATTTTAGGATTAAATCCTTCAATCGTTTCTGCTTTAGTTGTACTCTTAAGCATTTATGCTTCTACAATTATCAACATCTCGCTAAGATCAGTTAGGGTAACATCGAGATTCCTAATATGAAAGTTTTCAACAAACTGACCATATGACTTAAGAAGCGAGATAGGAACCAAATCATTGGCTTGCTACTTCGGAAATTCAATGCCCATTGTTCCCATTTTGTCAATGTACATTTTCATATGCATAACATGCGCACACACAAATTTTCAATCATTGTGTTTACATGCCAATATGGCTTCAGTAGTTTTGTATATTTCAATTTGAGGAAAATGTGATGTTGGGAGAGTCATAGGAGGAGGAGGTAGAAGAGTTAAAGAGAGATTATGTCTAGTTCCTCCATGACTTAAGATAAGGAAGACAATTTCACCTTTACTTAAATGTGGAAGAGCATCTCCAAAAGATTGAGGAAAACCATTTCCATAAGAACGAGGAAGATCATTTCTATCTTCATAGCACATCTAAAAGGGGAAAAGAAAGAATTCAAGTTAGTTGATTCTAATCCCTAATTATTAACCTAAAATTTAAACTAAGGCTAGGATCCATATATTCAATTCAAACTTTGAAGAGGGATGCGGTAATCAAATTGTGAATCTATTTTAGGTAGGTAAGGCTATTACTAATTTCAATCTTATGAAACTTTTATATCTTTTGAGATTCATTGAATCTTATCAATGGCATGTGTAATCTTGGATTATGCTCTCACTTTTGTGACTAGGATGCAGAGGATCACAAACGAGATGTGAATAACGATGCAAACCTGCTTAACAACCTCAAGGTCATTTATCATCTCACATTGATGTGCTAGTTAACCACACACGCTCCATCCACAAAAATAATTTTCGAGTTGTGCCATCATTTCAACTTTACAGTCCCAACATTAGTATGTCGGTTAACCACACACGTTCCAATAACGACTCATAAAGAACCTATGTGTGTTTTCATGCATTAACATACAATTTTACATTTTTCCTAAAGTAACTAGAGTGAGATTTTAAAATAAGGTTCTAGTACTTTATAGATTTTTCTTTTAATCTGATTATGTCATATCGAACTTGTTCAACTAACAACCCTCCACCACACAAGAGAGTGGTGGGTGAAAAAAACACCTATTCAACGGTCATTTTATTGGCCATTTCCTTATACCTTCGTTATAACATGGCTTCGTGAATGAGGCTTACTAGTGATTTGATCGACTTCATCTTATACATATAGTAATTAACTTTTTATACATACATATATATATATATATATATATATATATATATATATATATATATATATATATATATATATAAAAGATGTATTTTAAAACTTTTCAAAATACTAGGTTTAAATATTAATTATCTGAATTAAACTTTTAATTAAATATTAAACCAATTATGATTTATCTTTATCCTTTAATTAAACAATTAATTAAATTAATTAAATCATTTAGGAGATAAATAATTATCTTTAATAAAACTATTCATTAATTAATTCAAATTTAATCCTTACTTTCTAAATTCGAAATTAGGTTAAGGGTAGGATTGTTATTCGGGTCAACCCAATCGGGTTTCGGGTTATTCGGGTCGGGTTAGTTGATTTTATTAAGAAATAAATACATCAGAAACCCTACCCTATTAAGTTATGGGTTAATCGGGTTCGGATCAATCGAGTTTCAAGTTAGAAGGGTTAGATTAATCGGGTTAGTCGAGTTATATCTAAAATAACTATAACTTACAAATTTGTCAAAAAATAAAATAATAGAATGAAGTCTAGTACGTTTATGTAAATAAGGTTTATGTTTAGGTAATTAAAATGTAATTATGTAAATCAATACTCATTGTTCACATGTTATGCAAACCACAGACTCAGCCAAATAGGTACTTCAATATATATTTTCGAAGATAATATAGTTATTATTTACACCAAAGAATTATGTAGTTGGCAAAGAGAATAGACGGGGAGGAGCTGTGAACGTGACAACTTGATGATTGAGGATGAGTCCGGTTGAGACGGAGTTCTTCAGAGATAAGCATTGATCGGGCTTGAAGGAAAGAAAGTAATGGATCCCCATGACGGATTAGCATGGCAATGTTTTCAAATTTTGGTGATAGATCGTTGAGAATGTAGGTGACAAGAGTTTTCTCGGGAATTGGGGAGTCGATGTTGGCTAGAAGATCAGATAAGGACTTCAATTTCTGACAATAATCTGCAATGGTGCGATCTCCAGTGACTAAGAAGCAGAGTTCATTATGATGCTCAATTTCCTTAGCAACTTTATTGTCCCAAAAGAGTGCTTCAATGCTTAACCAGACTGAGTTTATTCTAGAGTCCGGTTTTAAGATCATGTTGAGTAAGGGTTGTGTCGTAGTGCCATAAAGCCACATCTGGATAATGTTGTCGAGGTTTTCCCACTCAGCATCGGTAGGGCTAGTTTGTGGTGCTGGTAAGGATGCCATGAACGCCAAAAGCCTTACAGTGAGTGGTAAAAAGTTTAAGCCAAGCATCATAGTTAAGTTAGTCTAAATCAAGGATTAGGGGAACATATGCCTTGATGTTTGTAATACCTTATGGTGTTTGATTAGCCATGGCCAATAAGAGTGAAAGAGGGAGGAGAGAGAGAGAGAGAGAGAAACGGTGGAAGGAACACCGCCGGAGAGAGGGGAGAAGAGAAGTATAGCCAGCTGGATTAGGGTTACCAGGAATCAAGGAAAGATCTTTGATACCATGTTTGACACGTAATTTCCCATAACTGATTTCATTAAACAGGAATTAGTAAATATACAATAAAGTAGGCCTTATGCCAAAATACAAGAGCGATACAAACGAGCTAGCTATCTCTTAAAATATAAAGCAATACACAATATATACACTAATAAGCCACATTGGTACTACAATATCTATTTTCGAAGATAATATTGTTATTATTTACACCAAAGATTATGCTTTATATATAATTACATAGTTCAAAATTCAAAGTGAAAATTTATGTAGGTCCATGGATGAGAATATGAACAATCTATAGTAAGGGAACCCTACTCGAACAAATTTATAACTTGCTCTTTTGGTCCATTGGTTATATATTTGACCTTGTAAATAATAAAAACAACTTTATATTAAAAAAACAAAAACAAAAAAACTCATCTGTTATACATAAAGAATCATCCATTGAAGGGTTGTTAGAAGATGCAATTGAAAAGCTTGTAGAATGTAAAATAGTAAAATATGTTTCTAATGGGTTACCTTAATCGAGTTATTCAGTTTAACCTGAACCAAATTTTTTTATAATAATTCTACCCAAAACCCAACCCTAAGTATATTCCAGTTTTTCCGGTTTTACCCAAATAACCCAATTTTCTTTTTAACCCCTATTAACCCGACCCTATTAATCTTATTCAGGTTTAGGTTCCGGTGGGTTCGGGTACTTTTGAAACCCCTAGTTAAGGGTTACTAAGTTTTAATTATTCAAATTTTATGGCAATTAAAATAATAATTAAGGAAACTAGAAACTCTAAGGCAATTTTCAAAAATAAGGGAAAGGAATATAGGGTTTCCAAAAACCCTAGCAAATTCGATATTTTCAAGGGCTAGGGTTTATTTTTGATAAACCCTAATCTTTTGATCCATTGTACTTATGCACAAGCAATAGAAAATAATGGCTCTGATACCACTGATTGGTTTTGTAGGTTACTAAAACATGTAAAGAGAAAATCTTAACCCTTAAGTTCACATGACCCCTATTGCGGATCTATGTTTTCTCGAATTGATAACAATAAACATTGGACATCAAGAACACTAATAAACCCTAAGTATTTTGAAAATAAAAGAAGGATTAGGGTTTACATACCTTAGATTTATTATATCAATTAAATTTTATTCCTTTCCTTGTTGGTCTTCAGAAAGCAAGCACCAAAAACTTAGTGCGTCTAATGGTTTGTACCCAAACCCTAGAAACCTTGAATGAAGAAGAGAGAGAGAGAGAGAGAGAGATAAAAATTTCATTCCTAAGCTTGTAGTTAAAGGTGTGAATGAAATCTGCTTGTCTTGGGGTCCTGTTTATAGTTTAGGTAACTTACAAACAAAACCATATTTGAATTAATTAAATAGTAGATTTAATCCCATATCAAATCCTTTCCTTATCTGCATGCAAGAGGCTTCTAGAAACCCTAAGAATCAAGTTAAAACTGTCCATACCATGGATGGTTCTAGAATTTCTTATTTTGTTCAAGTATTGAACAATTACAATTCACCCATTGCACGTTTAGTTAATTCCAGTTAATCCCAAATTAATTTCAGATTTATTCTAATTAACAATTAATTAATTCTTATTGATTTCTCATTAATGTAAAAATTAATAAATCAATTATTTAACTATTGATCTCATGTTAATTTATTATTCATATAACAAATTAACAAATCAATAATATATTTCCAATTAACATATTAATCACATAATATATCAGCAAACCATTTCTCTCTCTCTCTCTCTCTCTTAATATCATTTCTAGCGATTTCTGGTTATTGGCGCAACCCAAAAAGGACTTTTCTTCTATTGTCAAGTTTATACGAATTCAGTTATGAGCTTAGATACCTTAATCCAACAAGTAGTCTCGACTGAATTTGCTATGCATCTTCATTCCACATGTACTAATTTGTGTATTTTTTGTTTTGACCAAACTTCTTTTTGTGGAAGAGAATTTAGTGGCATAGAAGGTGTACAAGAGCTCTCTTTCAATTTAAACAAGAGTTGCCGGTTCGTCAGTCGGATGCAATGGAGTGAACTTAACATAATATCACCTATAAGGAGATACCGACATATCGAGTTGTTCCAATCTGAAGTAAGAAGATCATAGCTAATGAATAGAACCATATGATGTTCATGAATGATTCCTTCTAGATTATATGGTGAAACTATGTATAAAGGATTCGGAGGACCCTTTAGAGCATGGATCCTAATAATTTCTTCAATAGCTTGGTTGATTTCATCTTGTGGCCAGTCCTCAAACTTTCTTGATGACTTAATCGGGATGATCAGACCAAAGGATATTCCCTTGCTTTTGTCCTTGATTGGATCTCCAGGAATGACTTCAATAATTTGCTAGGAAGCTGGATTCACAATCACTTTATAAATTGGTAAGACAAATTCCATTGTAGGAAGATCATAATTTTTCTTGATTGGGGAACCTTGATCTATCTCAACCATTCTTGGAGAAGGAAATAGAGGTGGCATTGGTTTTTTTCCCATAAAGCATCAATGCTCTATTTAGTTTTGTTTTTTTTTCTCATTTCCATGTTGTGTTTTAGTGAATCGGCCAGATCTAACGGCCAAGCACATGAAGACCATTTCATTTTCTCCAATTCGAAAAGTTTTTTTTGGAACAAAGGTGCCTCTTTTTCTGATGGAACTTTTTCATTAATAATATCCTCATCAGCATCTTCTTCTCCAATTACCATAAACTCTTCTTCTTCTTCTTCTTCACCTTCAGTGGATTCATCTCGGAGTTGGAATTCTGAGTTGGGCTTCCATTTGGTCATAGCTACTTCTCCACCTCTTACGTCAGAAGGCCCTGCTTTCAGTGCTAGCAACATTGGCTCCTTGATTTCAGCAATCCTATAAAAACTTTATGAAAGCTAAGGTTGATCATTTTAAAGAGTTTTTCATGGGCATCAGTAGTGGATCATTTGAGTGTGTAAAGGTTGTCTTCAAAGATCTTAAGGACTTCATCAAACTTGTAATTCGGAATGTCCACAAAATGTTGGGCAAACCGAATGATTTTGATGAGGACTTGCTACATGATGAGGTTCATGGAGTCCTTAGAGTGAATTTCCTTTTCCAGACACTGAATTTGTTTCTCATGCTGGATATGGGTTTTCTTGATGAGCTTGTTAGTTGCCTTGACTAACTCATCATGGATCGTCGGCATTTTCCAAACTGTATTTTCATGATGCTTGATGAGATTGGCATAGTGTTATTCAGACACTTCCATGTTATGCTTGAGTCGGAGAGATATAAGTTAATCTAACTGTTGTCCTCAATCTTGAATAGATGGGGCAGTAGACATGACATCAGAATTGGATTTCATGATCATTACCAATTTTGAGTCCATGGCTCTGACCTGAGCGTTAACAGTGTGAACTTAGCATCAACACACTCAATCTGGTATTGCATCTCGAGCAGTGCAAAGGGATCAACAATATTTTCATTTGAAGATCCAATATCGTAATTGGATCCTTCGCCTAAAGTGCTTGGTTCATCACTGCTAACATCTATATTACCACCACCAGCACCACCATTTGTAGGTGCTTTCATCTAATCATCATTTCTATTACGAACCAGATCCATGTCTCCGGAAGAATATTGGAAATCAAGATCAATTTGGTATCCGGAGGATGAATTTTGAAAGAACTGAAACTTGGAATTTAAAGGAAGAACAATGAGGATATCAATGTTTATATTACCAAACATGATCTGATAGCCAGCATCTTCTGTATAACCATGAGGAGGATCACATGAGACCAGATTGGAGTCAAGAAGATCTCCTTGGGCTTCTTCATTCAACTAGGAGGCTTATCTGAAATAAGATTTGATCCGGGCACATATATACGAATATATTCAACAACAACATTCTTTGGAGGAGGCTCATCCGAAATATTATTGGGATCGGGCACATCTCCACTTGAAATCATAACTAGAACATTTAGCGATGGATCATGTACTGGCTTGGGAACATCATCCTAAATGTTATGTACCAAGTTCATGTGGGAGAGAAAAGCATCAAAATCTACATCTTTAGGAATAACAAGGCGGTCATTTTCATCGGCTACCCACAAAAATCCTTTGGATATCTATTCTACAGACCTAGTGATAATGTGGTCTTCGTAGCAAGGATAAGATTTTTTCACAAGAGGTAACTCATATGCCAAGAGGCCAGTGGGAGGACAATTGATCTTGAAGAGATTCAAGAATCAAGTGGTTAAGGAATCTCTAACACTAGCGCTCAACCTGAGGAAGAGATTCCTATTGAACAAGTTGATGAGTTGTTACCTCTTATATGTTCCAGTAGAGTTAGTATTCCACATGTATTATATGGTTTCCATATAACTGGAGAAGGTGAGTATGCCAAATGAAAAGAGGCAATGGAAAGTGAGATCCAGTCTATGTATGACAATCAAGTTTGGAACTTGGTTGACAATGTACCAGGTCGAAAGACATTTGGGTGCAAATGGATCTTCAAGAAGAAGACTGACATGAATGGAAAGGTGCTCACATTCAAGGCAAGGCTGGTTGTAAAGGGCTTTACTCAAACCCCGGGGGTTGACTTTGATGAGACCTTTTCACCAGTGGCCAAGATCAAGTCTATTAGGGTTATGTTAGTCATCAATGCGTTTCATGATTATAAAATCTGGCAGATGGATGTCAAAACTGCTTTCCTTAATGGGAAGATGGTTGAAGATGTTTGCATATGTCAGCCAAAAGTTTTTGTGGAAGCTAAATACCACAATAGAGTGTGTAAGCTTGAGAAATCCATCTATGGATTGAAGCAAGCATCTCGCAGATGGAATCTTTACTTCGATGACAAAGTCAAAGAGTTTGGTTTCTTTAGGAGTGAGGATGAGTCTTGTGTATATGTCAAAGGTGGGAGCATAGGTAGCTTTCTAGTATTGAATGTTGATGATATACTACTCATAGAAAATGACATTCCAACCTTGGAAGTGGTTAAGTCCTGGCTCGGGAAGTGTTTCACTATGAAGGATCTAGGAGAAGATGCCTATATTCTGGGGATAAGGATCTTGAGAAATAGGAGTAGAACACTAATGGGACTTAGTCAAAGTACTTACTTGGACAAGGTGCTAAAATGTTTTAGCATGGAGAATTCCAAGAAAGGGGAGTTACCTATCCAGAGCAATACCAAACTGAGTAAGACTTAGAGTCCAAGTATCAATGCAGAGATGCGGAAATGAGTCGAGTTCAATATGCTTCTGTTGTTGGCTCGATCATGTATGCCATGACATGTACTTGCCCTAATGTGGCTTTTGAATTGAGAATGGTAAGTAGATATCAATGGAACTCGGGAAGAGTTCACTGGATAGCAGTCAAGAACATTCTTAAGTATCTGCGAAGGACTAAGGATTGGGTCCTTATGTTTGGTGGTGGTGATGACTTGAGAGTGACAGGGTATAGTGGCATCAGCTTTCAGACCGACCGAGACAATTTTTGTTCTCTGTCAGGCTGGGTGTTTACCCATAATGAAGGAGCAGAAACTTGGAAAAGTTCCAAGCAGGAAATTGTGGCTGATTCAACGTGCAAATCAGAGTATATAGCTGCGAGCGAAGCGTCGAAGGAGGCTATATGGTTGAAGAACTTCATTAGAGACCTTGGATTTGTACTAGCCATAAAGGAGCCCATGGAGATTTTCTGAAATAATGAAGGAGCGGTTGCCTTAACCAAGGAACCAAGGGATCATGGAAGATCCAGACATATCGACAGAAAATACCACTTCATCAAACATTGGGAAGAAGGACTCCTCATCCTCAAGAGGGTATCATCAGAAGAGAATCATGCAGATACCCTCACAAAGGGTCTGAGTAGGAGTAAGCACATTCAGCATGCGAGGAGCATTGGTCTGAAGGACAATATTACTTTTAGTGATTAGATAGATATTTTAGAAACTTGTAATAGATAAATGTAATTGACATTTGATGATTACATAATGGAGATTTATTTATGATTATTGTTTACTATCTTGTGTCAATTGTTTACTATTGTTTTACTTTTGCATGTTTCACTTCTTGAATAATTGGATTGTTTAGATTATCCGTAGTCGATCATACTTTGGAAGTAAATAGTGAATTAAGACTTTCATGAATTGGCTTGTAGATTGTCTAAGTGCTTAGACATAGCAAAAGTTTGATGCAATGTTCAAGAGTACTCCTGAAATAGGATTTGAGTATTGGATTAAACCCATGATCATTTGAATTACTTCATGGAATTTATCACGAGTAATTGTGAGACGATAATATCGTATAATCTTAAAACCGAGATATATGAGTTGTTGTTTACAAGTTGGTTGTACATTAATAATGCATAAACGCATCAATAACTTGATGTTATAAAATGTATTCTTGTGTACGATTTGATTAGTAAATAGTAGAAGCATATAAGTCAAAGTTTATCTGCACCTTTTATCGAAAGGGGTAAAAGTGATATCTTGGGCCCCTAGATGATTTTGTGTTGACTTATGTGTTGGGCCCGATCAGGATTGAGTTGATGTGTTCAATTAAGTTCGTTGTCAAACAAATCATAAATCGGTAAACAAATTGTTGGACAATGAGAATGATTATATTCCATGTCTTTGTCCACATGATATCTTGCAGAACGGAGGATTATATGGTTACTTATCTTAAGGACTTGTAGCTGACTAGGTCAGAGTTCGACAGCGGCTTTTGAGAGTTCGATTGCTAGTCAATTTTTGGAGTCATACTTGCAATTATAGTTATTAGACTTATCCAAGTGAGAGACTGTTGGATTAGGTATCTAAGTCGATAACTATAATTGGTATGTACTTGATTTGATAGTAGCATGGTCCTTTTAGGTTGCCTTCATACTGGCAACTAGAAAGGATGATTATTGGAGATAAGGGCTGAGTTTATTATTTGGAATAATAAATTGGTGCATAAAAACGATTTAGTAATATATTATAAGAATAATATATTAATTAGAAATAATATTATTAATTAGTATTTAATCAGAAATTACTTTTGGGATTAAAGGAACGGATTAAAAGTGCAGGGCCTGTTTTGCATTTATTTGATAGTTGTGGTTTTGGGCCATGGGATCACCCTTATTAGGGAGGGCCGAAAATTCCTAGAAGGTTCTAGAGATTTTTGTCTAAGCCCTAAGGTAAGGGTGTCCATGGACTTGCCTAGGCCTTAAGCTAAGGGATTAGGGTTTCTACCACAAACCCTAACTAGCCTCAAGTATAAATAGTGCCCATTGGCCTCTTAAAATCCTGCACCTCATTGAAACCCTAGAAGAGCCGAATTTATGAGAAAGTGACTCCTCTCTCCTCTCTCGCATATTCATCTTCTTGCCCTAATTCGTTTGTGAGCCATTAGAGGTACTACACGTATGGTACTTGTTCTCAAAAGTAAGGGTGTTCGCGAATTGGTTGTCATTACTATATAACAACAAAGGTATCTATTCTAATCTTTCTTATGTAGATTTCGAAATATTAGATGCACATTAGGGTTTTTTATTTTGTGTTCAATGCTTGTATGTCTAATAGAAAACATAGATCCAATCTAGGGTTGCATGCACACATAGGATTGTTTGTATAAAACTCATCACTAAGTAGGTTTATAACACCTCATGAAATGTGGAGTAATTAGGTTTTCTTACTCTAGCACATTTTTGAATTTGGAGTTGTGATGTTTTGGTTAAAATAAAGGATAAACTTAGACCAATTCTACGAAGTGTTTTCTTACCGGAAATCTACATTATCTTTTCAATATTTGTTTTTGCTCGTCAAGGGAGGTTCCTTGAAAAACTTATATTCAAGAAGTCCGTAGGAGTCTGATTGATCTTGAGGGTTTCAGGAGTCAATCAAGAATAAACCTTTTAGTCATCACTAGCACGTAACCTCATGTTGACAACCTATCGTGTTCAGTTGAAACATTCTTATTTATGTTCACCTTCCAATTGAGTTGGCAATGCTTTTGTGTAAAACGTTTCTCATTTGATTACAAAACGCAGAGCACGTTGGTCAGTGGAAGTACATTGATCAATATGGGTGAGCTGCTTAACAACAAGGAAGCACTTGTAGGCCCTGGTGCTACCAAAAGGCAAGAAATTTATAATAAGCCAAATGAAATCCATGATAGGAAAGCAAAATTTGATTTTGTTTTTTTTTCATAAACCTTATCTTATGATTGTGGGTTGGAAATGATAGATTCATATAGATGGGAACAAGTACACCATAAAATGTAGGCGGAAAAAGGTTTCGCTCTAATTCATGAGAATAATTATGAGGAAACACTTTTGCTAGTAGATTTTTAAGATCTGATAAATATCATTATAATTATTAGTTGTGTTAATTGTATTCTCAATTCGTAATATGATTACGACATCCTTATTCATAGTTCGAATTATGAGAAATGGCAAGGAATTGTTTGACCTTTTAGGACATATGGATATAATTTCTGAAAGGGTTTGAACACACACACATATTGTGACATCCCTATTTTCATGGCTAGACAATACAGATTTGTTTATACTTTATTTTCAAAATCATAGTATCTTTTAAACAAATA